CGCGCGCGCACGCACGCACACACACACACACACACACCTGGTCATCGGTCATATGCCAGTGCAGAACGTTGAGCTTGTTCATGGCCATGCCCTCAATGAGCCGGATAATGACGGGCAGCGGATAAAAATGCCGCGACGTATCGAGGAGCAGTCCGCGCCAGGGCTGCTGCGGCCTGATGGTGTTGGAGTTGGTGATAGTGGTGGTGATGCATGTATGGTAAGGGATCCATGTCAGCAGGGAGACGAGCGCAGTCGGTGATCAAAACAGCAACGAAGGCAGACACAGACACAGACACAGGTATGCGCACACAGACGGACAGGCACACACACACACCCACACAGACAGACACAGACACACAGACACCCACCCACCCACACAGACACCCACACAGACACACAGACACAGACACAGACATACGCACACACACACAACACACACACGCTGGCCCTCACTCGTCCTCGATGAGGACGGGGAGACCGGAAATGGCGGGAGCGCCATCAACGCGGCGGCGACCAATCAGCTGAAAGAACGTCTCCATGCCGTGGATCATGCCCCACACCGTCTCGCTGAAGATGGTGATGGGCGTGTCGCTTGCAGCCGGCACCACGAGTGCATACCCCTCGTTCACGCCGACGTCGAGCTCAACATCCGGGTCGCGCACGACCACCTCCATCTGTCGCAGCGTGAAGAAGGACGTCGATACAAGCGTTTCCATATCCTGCTTCTTCGACGCCACACCATGCACCTTCATGGTCTTCTTGGCTTGCTTGGTGTTGCCGCCAAGAGCGCTTGGACCCGTGCCGAGAATATCGTCGCCGATATCACGCCGCGCGCGCCCACTCGCATGGTTGTTGTTGTTGTTGTTGTCGTTGTTGTTGTTGTTGGTCATGCTTGCGGGGGCCTTTGCTGCACTGGCCTTGCTTTTCGTAGCGGTGGGCTTCTTTGCCGGCTTTTTGCTCCGCTTGCCCTTGGGCCTCTGGGACGAGGTTTTCTCCTCCTGTGACGCGTCATTGGCGGAGCAAAGGGATGCAAAGCGCAGGCACATGCGCTCAAACGTGTGCATGATGAGCATGTGGGTGCTGTGCGAGGACTCGTGCATGGACTGGCACTTGAACTTGAAGTTGAGGATGTCCACAACGCCCTGGTCCAAGCCCGACTGGAGCTTCTTCGTCGGTATGGGCGTGACACGGTTTTGCGGCAGCGCTGGCTCAAAGTACTCCAGCGGGATGCGGCACTTGTCCGTTTTGATGTAGCTGCTGCAAGACAGGACGGTCGGATGGCCATCAGCATCCTCAAACTGGGCCGGGTCGTCGTCGTCGTCGGCAGGGGTGCTGGCGTTATCACCGTCGCCACCCCCATTATCGCCCTCCTGCTGTTGCTGCTGTTGCTGTGCGTTATTGTCCTTGCCTTTACCCTTCTGCATCTCCTCTGGCAGCGGAGGGAGCGTGCTGGCGATGCGGTTGGACGCGTTTGTGGTTGGGTGGAGGTGGGCGACCGTTTGCATGTGGGGGCGATTCATGGTCGTGTGCATGCCTGCATAGTTGAGGGCGATGAACACGAAGATGACCACGGGGATGAAGACGGCAAACTTGACCCATCCACGTAGGAAGGACGGTGATGCCGCGCCATCGTCATCTCCCAGTGTTTCGTACGCGTACCGCCGTCGCCCTCCCTTGCGGTACTTGCCCTCGCTATCTTCCTCCTCCCTCCTCATCGCCAGTGCTCTGTCTGAGCGTGTGGGAGTGCTGTGTCTGTGCTTGTGATGCTGGTCTTGTGGTCTGCGTTTGATATTCGCGTCTGAATTCAGTCACACCACAAATAACCACTGAATTCAGTCTCGTGTAGATACGCGCAGCTTGCGTCATTCAGCACAGAAACCGTCGCGGTTGGTTGCTTGCTTGCTTGATGTGCACTGGGTGCTGATGGTGATGGTGATGGTGATGGGCTGTGGTTTGGTTGGCTGGCGTTGGTTGGTTGGGCTGGCGTTGTGGTTGTGCGTTGGGTGTCAAATCAAGCAAGCAACTTCACATTCATCATATTGTCACACATCACACAGCTGTCGCAACGAGCGAGCGAATTTGTGTTCTCATTTTCCCTCCCTCGTCTACCCATCATCTCCGATCGGTTCTGCTGCTCTCCCCGTCTCCCTTTCTCTATCCGTGTCTTCGACTTGTTCCGTGTTGATTTTGTTCTCAGAGCCAAGCTGCGACAATGGCATCCAAGAAGTGCAAGTGCTGCCCGCCTTACCTGCGGAGGCGTCAGGTAAGGCACAGCAAGTTTTTTGGTCATGCGCGTGTGGTGGTGTCGTGTGGTGGTGTGGTGGTGTGGTGGTGATTGCCCTGCTGCCGATGCTGGCGCATTCACTCGGGGCTGACGGTCGTGTTGTAAACCCCTTGTCGTCGTCGTGTGTTGCTTGTTATGCCGGTGGGCCTTGGGTTCTTTGATATCATCAGCCCATCCCAGCGCGCCTTTCCGTCGACAACAGCCCTAATCTCACCCATGTTCTATCGTGCTGATCTTGTCCAACGCCTTCGATGCTCGTTATCAAGCCTTCCTTCCGCAACAAGCTCGCTGGCGAAACGCCCGAAGTTCCCATCGACTACAGGGATGAGGAGGTCAGCTTGACTGCTTGACTGTGTGTTCCATCAACCCTGGCGGGAGGAGAACTTGTGCTCCGTGCATTGCATTGAGTTCCCAGCGGTTATGGCCCATTTCATTGATGTACATACACACTCACACACCCGCACACTCTCTCACACTCAAGCACACTGTCTCATATTCACTCACACACACTCACACAACACACACTCACACAACACACACTCACACAACACACACTCACATTCATACACACTCACACTCACACTCATACACACACACACACACTCATACACATACACACACACACTCGTACACACGCGTGCACACAATCGCTCTCTCTCTCTCTCTCATTTCACACGTGATGCAGGAGCCTGTGGTGACGCACGAAACGTCGCCAAACCCGTGGCCAAGTACGCCTGCGAGCGAGAACCCAAAGAATGTGGCCATCTTCACAAGCGGTGGCGATGCCCAGGGCATGAACGCGGCTGTGCGCGCTGCTGCTGGCGTCTGCCTGCAATACGGCGTCAACGTCTACGCCATCCACTGCGTACGTACGTGCACGCGCTTGGCATGCACCATCTACCTTGATGCACGTGCGTCTGCTTTGGGATTGTGGTCAACGGATGGCAACCGCCGTTCAACGTGAAGCTTGTTGTATCGTGTGGTGATTGCATTTTCGTGCGTGCTCATGTCTTGTGGATGACATCTTGTCGCTGTTGTTGTTGTTTTTTGCTGTTGTCATCAGGGTTACCAAGGCATGGTTGAAGGCGGCGACATGATTGAGAAGCTGACGTGGGCTAGCATCGGTGACATCATGCAGAAGGTAAAAAGTGTGCGTGCATGCGTGCATGCAGCTGTAGTGGTGAATGACGTGCTGGATAATTGTGTCCCGTTCCATTCCCACTTCACATCATTCACAAACGAGCATCACCCTCGTGATTGTCGCTCGCTCACCATCACCACCACTTTCACATTCACCGCCATCACCACTTTTGCCATTACCATCAACATCGCCATTACCATCACCATAATCGCCACCACCACCACCACCATCAACACCCAACACTTCCGTCACTACCGTTGACGCTTCGTCGTGGCCAAGGGCGGCACGGTGATTGGCAGTGCGCGGTGCAAGGAATTCCGCACGCGGGAGGGCCGCAAGCAGGCTGCCCAGAATCTCGTCAAGTACGACATCAACTGCCTCGTAAGTGCATCCACTGCCTTCAATCATCTGGGTTGGTGGGTACAGCCGTGTATTCATGCTCATGCTGTGACCTTGTATGCGTGTGCGTGTGCGTGTGTGCGTGCGTGTGCGTGTGCGTGCGCGTGTGCGTGTGCGTGCGTGTGCGTGCGTGTGTGCATGGTTGCTTCTCAAGCTGGTATGATAGCTTGCTTGTTTTGTTTGTGCTTCTTTCTTTGACGTGACCACCACATGACCACCACCACCACCACACCTCTACACCCCCCCCTGCACCACTGCCGTGCTACATTGATTGGCTGCAGATTGCGATTGGCGGCGATGGCACGCTGACGGGCGCGCATGTGTTCAAGCAGGAGTGGCCGGATTTCCTCGCCGAACTGAAGGAGGAAGGCACCATCACGGAGCAGCAGTTTGAGGAGCACAAGTTCCTCTCCCTCATGGGCATGGTGTGCACACCCTTGAATTGCTTGCGCATGCATGCATGCATGCATGCATGTATGTATGTATGTGAGTGCGTGCGTGACAAGCTCAAGGTTGATGTTAAGATCCACGTCTCGTCCTTACTCTGTCTGTGCGTGTATGTGTTGTGCGTGCGTGTGCGTATCACAGGTTGGCTCTATTGACAACGACATGTGCGGGTTTTCAATGACCATCGGCTGCGACTCTGCACTTCATCGCATCTGCGAAGCCGTCGACGCCCTCACCACGTGAGCACCAGAGTGTGAACGCGCGTGCGTGCGTGCGTGCGTGTGTGTGTGTGCGCGCGTGTGTGTGTGTGTACAATTATGATTGCCACCTGCCTCAACACCAGCCCCATCTTCTCTTATCCCCACCTTCCTCACTCCTCCAACCACCAGGACTGCGATGAGCCACCAGCGGACGTTCATCGTGGAGGTGATGGGCCGCAACTGCGGGTTCCTCGCCCTCATGGCTGCGCTCGCGTGCGGCGCCGACTTTGTGCTGGTGCCGGAGCACCCGCCACCAGTGGAGGATTGGAAGGCCGCCATGTGCGACTCCCTCCTCAGGCGACGCAGGTCTGAACACACACACAAACACACACATGCTTGAACTTACATTACACTTGCTCCTTTTGCGTACGAGAAACACACACACACACACAGACACAGACACACACACAGACAGAGACACACACACACACACACACAGACACACACAGACACACACAGACACACAGACACACACACACACACGCACACAGACACGCGCGCACGCAGACATCATCGCCTTGCTCACCACGCGCATGGTGTTGGGCTGCAGGTACACAAACTTCTCTCTGATCATCCTGGCTGAGGGCGCCACCGACATCCACCGCAATCCCATCACGGCCGACATTGTCAAGCAGGTGCTGCACTGCTCCCGCACACGCGGGTGTGCATCTTTGTGTGAAGCTGTACGTGTATGTGTATCTTCTGTGTGTTTGTGCTTCTGTTGTTGGTGTGGTATATGCGCACGCGTGTCTCCAAGGGACGTGCACCTTACGCGGTGCGGGTGGCTGCTGTATA